CCAAGGATAGGCAGGGAGAAAGAAAGAGAGAGAGAGAGAGAGAGAGAGAGAGAGAGAGAGAGAGAGAGAGAGAGAGAAACAACAATCTGCATGTACCTTGACCAGAAATTGAACCTGCAACCTAGATATGTGCCAGGATTGAGAATTGAACATACAATCTTCTAGTACACAGGACGACAATCCAATAAATTGAGCCACCAACCTGGGCAATGTGAAAAACATTTTAATTAATAAAACTTGCAATATGTACACATTTGTTCTATGTAAAGATGATCATTAAAATAAATAATTTTATCTGAGAATTGTTTTAGGGACAATTTTCTTCTTCTTTTAAATATATTTTATTGATTTTTTTTACAGAGAGGAAGAGAGAGGGATAGAGAGTTAAGAAACATCGATGAGAGAGAATCATCAACCAGCTGCCTCTTGCACATCCCCTGTTGGGGATACGCCCGCAACCAAGGTACATACCCCTGACTGGAATCGAACCCAGGTCCCTTCAGTCCGCAGAACGATGCTCTATCCACTGAGCCAAACTGATTTCGGCACAATCTTCTTCTTCTTCTTTTTTTTTTTTAAAATATATTTTATTGATTTTTGTACAGAGAGGAGGGAGAGAGAAAGAGAGTTAGAAACATCAATGAGAGAGAGTCATCGATCAGCTGCCTCCTGCACACCCCCTACTGGGGATATGCCCGCAACCAAGGTACATGCCCTTGACCGGAATCGAACCCGGGGCCCTTCAGTCCCCAAGCCGACGCTCTATCCATTGAGCCAAACCGGTCCGGCGACAATTTTCTTCTTTTTAAATAAAAATATACTCTTTAAAACAGAGGTTTCCAACCGGTGGTCCAAGTGGTCCATAAAGTCTGAAAGGTTGGCGACTGCTGCTTTAAAATGTTCATCAGGGGAAAACCAAGATGATGGCATAGATGAGCAACTAATCTGCCGCCTTGCACAAAATTTCAAAACTACAACTAAAGGAAAAAATGTCTACTACCCAAAATCATGGGAAGGCTGGCTGAAAGAGAAAGGAGCACAAGCGCAGAAAAGCTGAAAAGCCTAGGTACGGAGGCCCGCGAATCAGGCTGGTGGAGGGGGACTGGGCACATGGCTTTTTTCAACCAGAAGGGAAACAAGCCCCTGATCACTTTGAAATCTAGTTTGTGGGGTCACTTGGAGGACCCAGATGTCTATGGGGAGAAGCTGGTCTGTCGGCCATCGGGTCTGAAAGTGAGGGTGACTCTTTTGCAGAGGTGCGCGCAGTAATCATTGTTTACTGCACTGGAGCATGGAACTTGGAAACGCTGAAAGGTAGAGATGGCTGACAGCCGCCATCGCTGTTTGCCAAGGCCCAGCCTAGTTAAGTCCTGAGATCCCGCCCTGCCCTGAGGCCCTGCACCTCACATTCTAGAAACCCAGCCAGGCTCCACTCAGCTGCTTTTGCATAAGCAGCGAAAATGCCGAGAAAAGGAGATCTCAAACAAAGGAAATGAAGGACAAAAGACTGGATATAGAGTTCAAAACCACAGTTTTGGCTTTTCAAGTATAAGGCTTTTCAAGAATTTCCTAGAAAAGGCCGATAAATTTCACGAGATCCTTGAGGGTATGAAAAATTAAACCAACTAGAAATTAAACCTACACTGACTGAAATAAAAAATATTATACAGAGACCCAACAGCAGACCACAAGAACGCAAGAATCAAGTCAAAGATTTGGAATACAAAGAGGCAAAGGACACTCCTCTGGAGAAGCAAGAAGAGAAGAGAATCCAGAAAGTTGAAGATAGTGTAAGAAGTCTCTGGGACAACTTCAAGCGTACTAACATCATAATTATGGGGTGCCAGGAGAAGAGAGAGAGCAAGAAACTGAAAACCTATTTGAAGAATTAATGTCAGAAAACTTTCCCCAATTGGTGAAAGAAATAGACTTACAAGTCCATGAAGCACAGAGAACCCCAAACAAAAGGAATTCAAAGAGCACCACACCAAGACACATCATAATCAAAATGCCAAGGACAAAAGACAAAGAGAGAATATTAAAAGCAGAAGAGAAAAACAGTTATTTACCTACAAAGGAGCACCTATAAGACTGTCAGCTGATTTCTCAACAGAAACTATGCAGGCTAGACGGGAGTGGCAAGAAAAATTCAAAGTAATGAATAGCAAGAACCTACAATCAAAATTACTCTATCCAGCAAAGTTATCATTCAGAATTGAAGAGCAGATAAAAAGCTTCATGGATCAGAGAAAGCTAAAGGAGTACATCACCACCAAACCAGTATTATATGAAATGCTAAAAGGTGTTATTTTAAAAGAGGAAAAAGAAGAAAAAAGTAAAGATAAAATTTATGAACAACAAATACATATCTATCAACATGTTAACTTTATTAAAAATCCGAGGAACAGAATAAACTGGTAAATATAATCAGGGTCATAGAATGGGAGGGGATTGATGATTCTCAGGGGGGAAGGGGTGCCTGTGTGGGGGGTTCAGGAAGAGACTGAAGAAAAATTACTGGTATATACCTATGGATGAGGATAGTGGGGAGAGGGGGGGTAAGGGCAGAGGGTGGAGGGGAGCTATGTGGGGGGAAAAGGAGAAACAATTAATATGAACACTGTAGTTTTATTTTTAAAAAGTGTTCATCATGGCTAGTTCTACTGTCTTGTCCTACTGAACACTTAGCCCTATCTTTATGCAATTTAATGAATTTACAAATTATGTATTTACTAGAGGCCCGGTGCACGAAATTCATGCATGGGTTGTGGGCAGGGGTGTGTCCCTCAGACCAGCTTGCACCCTCTCCAATTTGGGAACCCTCTGGGATTGGACCAAAATGGGCAGTCAGACATTTCTTTCACAATCCAGAACTGCTGGCTCCCAGCTGCTCACCTGCCTTCCTGCCTGATTGCCCCTTAACCACTCCCCTGCCAGCCTGATCGACACCTAACTGCTCCCCTTCCAGCCGGATCGTTCCTAACTGCCCTCCTCTGCCATCTGGTTGCCCTTAATTGTTGTCCCCTGCAGGCCTGGTCGCCCTCACTTGCCCTCCCCTGCAGGTCTGGCCCCCCCTAACTGCCCTCCCCTGCCAGCCCGGTCACCCCATCTGCCCTCCCCTGCCGGCCCAGTTGCCCCTACTGCCCTCCCCTGCAGGTGTGGTCCCCCACAACTGCCCTTCTCTGTTGTTCTGATGCCCACAACTGCTCTCCCCTGCTGGCCATCTTGTGGCAATCTTTGGGGCGGCCATCTTGTATGTTGGAGTGATGGCCAATTTGCATATTAACTCATTATATAGGATACTTTAAGTCTAGAGAAATGTAGGGAATAACTACCATTCTCGAATAATAAGGTTTGATCTGGTAAGATGGTGGTGTAAAGAATTTGGACTCTGGGATCAGTCAGCCAGCTTATGTTTGATTCCCAGCCCTATCTCTAGCCAAGTAAATTTCTCTTTTTCCACCACAATTTTAAAAAATATATATTTTATTGTTTTTTTACAGAGAGAAAGGGAAAGGAATAGAGAGCTAGAAACATAGATGAGAGAGAAACATCAACCAGCTGCCTCTTGCACACCTCCTACTGGGGATGTGCAACCAACGTACGTGCCCTTGACCAGAATCGAACCCGGGACCTTTCAGTCCGCAGGCCGATGCTCTATCCACTGAGCCAGACCTGTTTCAGCACAGTTTTTCTTTTTTTAAGATTAAATGAAATGTGGAGTTTTAGCAGAGTCTGGCATATAGTAATCTATTATGCTGGCTGCTATCCTTGCAAACATCATCATCATTATCCATTTCTAAGAGTTGGTTTTGATTGAGATCAGAATTGAAATCTATTAGATTGCATTAGGTTTCTGTGGTTGCTTCACAGGCCAACAAACACTTAATTGCTTAAAACAACAACCATGATAATTGCTAGCTTACAGTTCTTTGTTTGGTAACTTGGGCTCAGTTCAGCTGGGTGTTTGGGCTGAATAGAAAGATAAAAGAATAGAGAGATAGAAACATCAATGAGAGAAACATCGATCAGCTGCCTCCTGCACACTCCCTACTGGTGATTGAGCCTGCAATCCAGGCATGTGCCCATACCAGGAATTGAATTGGTGACTTCTTGGTTCCTGGGTCGATGCTCAACTGCTGAGCAACACCAGCCAGGCAACTTAGGATATTCATGTATTGTTAAAAGCACAATGTAAAATCATTGTAAGAATAGTGTCTTGGGTTGTTTGGTGTATTGAAGTATAATTATATGAGTATCTTAATAGTTCATTTATATTGATTCTGGTTAAATTTATACTTTTTAATTCTGGCTTTACAAGCTTCCCAATCATCTTTGGAATATCTCTAAGAAAGTTCCAGGCCTCTGATCTGGCAGGTGCCATCATAGCATTGGCCATGATGAAATCTTGCCATTCATAATGGCAGATGTATCACAAAAAGTAACACACCAATGCAAATCCAATCTTCTGAAGCTGATTTTAAAATGCTAATGTTGTATCTATTAGGAGACAGAAATCCTAGTTTAAAACCCATTCAGCAAGTTTCTATAAAGTGATATTTTGAAATAGGTAAACACTTAGAAAGCAGAAACAACAAAAAGTATAATCTTAGAAGCTGTTGTAAAAGAAATACTAGTACTGTTTAAACTTATGGAAGTAAGTAATTGATATAATAAAATATGCAAAATAAACACTACCTGTGATATTTACTATTAACCATCATTTGTTTTCTTGATATAAAATAGAAATGTTTATTATTATTTCAGTGTTAAAATATGAAAATTTTGAATAAAATTTACCATATCATAATGTGTGTCCTTTTCTCTTTTCCCATTTGAGTTCTAACAAATTAGTTAGGCATGAAATATCTAAATTTAGCCTGTAATCTCTGGTTATTTAAATTGTTTCACGTTTGTTAAAGTTATGATATTTTCCTTGTACCTTCAGGTTACCAGCTGGACTATTAATATGAAAGTGGATTTTACATATTGTTTTTCAGCTGACTACCTGGCTCAGGCATTCGATTCTCTTTGTTTGGACTTGAAGACCGATGAAGGAAAAATCTTATTTTTGGAGTATCAAGCTGTTCCAGTAATATTAAATCACTTAAGAATATCCAGTAAAGGGCTCTTATCCAATGTCATTGATAGTTTGCTTCAGATGACAGTGGAATCCAGTAAGTTTTAAAGTTCTATATACATAAATTATGGTGGGATGATTTTTCTAATCTGTTTTGAATGTATAATTCTACATATCAGATACCATTATATTTTATAATAGAAATGCTTTAAAAAATATATATATATATATTTTTAAAATATATTTTATTGATTTTTTACAGAGAGGAAGGGAGAGAGATAGAGAGCTAGAAACGTTGATGAGAGAGAAATATAGACCAGCTGCCTCTTGCACACCCCCTACTGGGGATGTACCCACAACCAATGTACATGCCCTTGACCAGAATTGAACCTGGGACCTTTCAGTCCACAGACCGATGCTCTACCACTGAGCCAAACCGGTTTTGGCGCTTTAAAATATTTTAATAGTTGTATAATAACGTTTGTTAATAGCATCCCTAAGTTGTAAAACCTAACCCTTTGTCCAGATTTTCACTAACTTTTAATTTCTAGTAGTCATCTCAGTTATGTGGATATACTCTGCAAATGTTACTCATATACTCAGGCTTCTTTCTTGTTTTTCTTTTGTCTCATTATTCTGACAGATCTATTCTTATATTTACTGTTTTCTCAGAGAGAGTGAGACAATCAAATGTGTCTCCACTTAAAGTGAGCATAGTGACAGCCATCGTCCAGTTGTTGCCTCTTCACCCTTACTCTTTTTGTTGGAGGCTACTCTTTTATATTCATACTAGAGGCCCAGTGCATGAAATTCATGCACTGGGGGAGGAGGGGTATCTCTCAGGCCAGCCTTCATCCTCTACAATCTGGGACCCAACCACTCGCCTGCCTGCCAGCCTGATCACCCTATAACCACTCCTCTACCAGCCTGATCAATGCCTACTGCTCTCCTTTTGGCCTGATCACCCCCAACTGCCCTCCCCTGCTGGCTCAGTCGCTCCCAACTGCCTCCCCTGCCAGCCCAGTTGCCCCCAATTACCCTCTCTTGTAAGCCTGGTTCCCCTAACTACCTTCCCCTGCAGGCCTGGTAACCCCCAACTGCCCTCCCCTGCTGCCCTGGTCACTCCTAACTGCCCTCCCCTGCTGGCTTAATCACCCACAACTACCCTCCCCTGCTAGCCATCTTGTGGCAGCCATCTTTGACCAGATGGGGGCGGCCATCTTGTACGAGGGCATGAGGGCCAATTTGCATATCACCTCTTTATTATTAAGATTTGTAATATTTTATAGTATGTGGGGATTTTTATATTGATACTAGAGGCCTGGTGCACAAAATGTGCACCCTTTCACAGTCTGGGACCCCTTGGGGGATGTCCACCTGCTGGCTTAGGCCTGACCCCTGTAGAAAGGGATCGGGCCTAAGCCTACAGTCAGACATCCTTCTCACAGTCTGGGGCTCTTGTAGCCGGGACTCCTTGCTCCTTACCGCCCGCCTGAAGCAAGGCAGGAGAGGCTACCTTTACCGCTGCTGTGCTTGCCAGCTGTGAGCCTGGCTTCTGGATGAGTGGTGCTCCCCCTGTGGGAATGCCCTGACCACCAGGGGGCAGCTCCTTCATTGAACATCTGTCCTCTGGTGGTCAGTGCACTTCATAGCGACCCATCATTCTGCTGGTCGTTCTGCCATTCAGTCAATTTGCATATTAGGGTTTTATTATATTGATATAACTAGTTCTTTTAATAAAAGAAATATAACTGTGGCAGTTCCTAACTCAGCACAGATATATATTAGGGATGTTTCCCATAAATATTTTCATTATCTTTGGTTGGCTTAGCTCTTTCAATCTACAGTAACCCCTTGACTTGTAACAAACAGTCATTTTACTTCAGTAATTCTTTTTCACTGTAGTTTGTCTTTTATCGATTCCTCTTCCCTCTAGCACTGCTAAAATTAAAATGTTAAAGCCTTCCAGAAAGTAGAAAGTAAAACTGGAAAGTCATTGCTCAGTGTTGTAGTAAACAATCTGTCTTGCTTGATGCTCCATGCTGGAGAATTCCTAATGGCTGGGTGCGTAGTGTGGTTATACTTCTAACTAGGCACATTTGATGTATGGTTTCACGTTTTCAATTCCCTGTTATATACAATTTAATTTTCCTTTACAACATCCCTCTGAAGGAGACCTAATAGGAAAACTGAGGCCTGGAAAATTTAGGTAACTTGTCGTGAATTCCACAGCCGTAAAGAGGTAGAACTCAGATTTGAAACCAGGTTTCTGATTCCAGATGTAAAGTACATTTTATCATATAGCACCATGAACAGGTTTTCCAGGTTTGTTTGTTTTTTCTAGCCAAAATGTCATATTTTCACTTATTTATTTTGCTCATATTTTCAGCCATTTGTTACCATTAAGATAATTGTAATTGGGGAACTAGCAATCTAGGTAAGTGATTTAGTATATTAATTTAAGGTATAAAGCAAAAACTAAAAATTAGTAAACTGAGAGACCCAAGGTTATTTGTTTTAAGAGTGTAGATTTCCAACTACTAGTAGTTTCACAAAATTTTTTGTTTAATGAGAAAAACAAAAATCCTACCAGTTGCAAATATCTATTAATTGAAAACAAATCTGAATATGTCTGACACAGGTGAAATCTTGTAGCCAAGAGAAAACTAAGTAAAATTTTAGGAATCAGTGGGCCTATTTGGGTAAAATGACTTTCTGGCACCATAATGTTCATATTTGGAGAAATAGTTTTAGATTAGTCAACAGATGTTCAGTTCATTTACATTTCTTTACCCTTGTTCAAATTATGTTCAAATCCAAGGTTATTGTTTCTTGCTCAATTTGAGTAAATGAAGCAAATACTAGTGTGGATTGCAAGAAACCCATGTTGTTTTTAGTGATGGGAAACTTTTGGAAGTTCCATAATGGGAAGATCTTTGATATTTATACTAGAGGCCCAGTGCATGAAAATTCATGCACTGGAGCGGGGTCTCTCAGCCCAGCCTGCCCCCTCTCACAGTCTGGGAGCCCTTAGGGGTGGGAGGCAACCCAGCAATCAGGGGAAAGTGATGTTCCGTCACACCTCTGCTGCTGCTGCTGGCGACAATGTAAGCCTGGGACAGTCCTGATTACCTGAGCCTCAGGTGGCCCTGGGCAGCTGGGCAGCCGCCATTCCAGGTTTGCCTGTGCCTTGGGCATTGGCTGGGCAGTTGACATCTGAGACTTGCCTGCACCTCAGGCCGGCCCTTGGCAACTGGGGGGCTGAAGAGGCTGGGGACTCGAGGCAGGTGTGTGAGAGGCTGGACCTGCCTGGGGGTGAGCCCGGTCATACTGTTTGCCTGTTCCGCGGTGGGACTGAGGGGACTGGGCGCCACTATTGTGGCTGTGGGCATCGCCATCTTTGAGGGCGTGGCAGTCAATTAGCACATTCCCTCCTTACTGGCTTTGGGCACTGCCATCTTTGTGATGGTCAGTTAGCATGTTCCCTCTTTATTAAATAGGAGTAATTTTCTTGATATATTTTATATATTTTTTATATAAATCTAACACCTGGTATTAGTGAGCCAACAAAATTTGTTAAAGGGATAAGTGAATGATAGATTGATGCAGCAAATACTTCTCTAGTTATTGGTTTTATGTCTTTGTGTTTTTTTCCCCCCTAGATTTGAGATGGGAAACTTATTTCACCACATACCAGTACATGATTTCCATGTGTCATTTTTTTAAAAATTCATATGAAAAAGTTGTTGGAAAAAAAAATCTTGGTATAATTTATTTATAGATGCTTATCTCACCCATCTAATGTGCATTAGTAGCCAGATGTGTGTGTGTGTGTGTAGTGCCATGTTTCAAGCACTGTATTTGCAATACTCTGCTGAACATTGGGGCTTCCTTTGAAGCCCATTGGAGCTTCAGAGCAAGGAGCTGGAGTTAGGTGTTGTGGGCTGATATCTAGCCCTGCACTACCCAAAGTACCTATTACTCATTACCCATGATGTCAGTATAAAAAGTATTTAAAAACCTGTAGAGTGCCGAAACCGGTTTGGCTCAGTGGTAGAGCGTCGGTCTGTGGACTGAAAGGTCCCGGGTTCGATTCCGGTCAAGGGCATGTACATTGGTTGCAGGTACATCCCCAGTAGGAGGTGTGTAAGAGGCAGCTGGTTAATGTTTCTCTCTCATCGACATTTCTAGCTCTCTATCTCTCTCCCTTCTTCTCTGTAAAATATCAATAAAATATATTTTTTAAAAAAACCTGTATAATAATTTTAACAGTAACTTATATCTGTTAAATCCTACCTAATAAAAGAGTAATATGCAAATTGACAATCACTCCAACACACAAGATGGCTGCCCCCATGTGGTCACAGATGGCCACCCCCATGTGTGGACACAAGATGGCCCGCACGGGAGGGCAGTTGTGGGAAATCAGGCCTGAAGGGAGGACAGTTGGGGGGGGGGACCCAGGCCTGCAGGGGAGGGTAATTGGGGGCGACCAGGTCAGCAGATGAGGGCAGTTAGGGGTGACCAACCTGGCAGGGAGTGGTAAGGGGGTGATCAGGCTGGCAGGCAGGTGAGCAGTTGGGAGCCAGCAGTTCTGGATTGTGAGAAGGATCCCAGATTGGAGAGAGTATACGCTGGGCTTAGGGGCACGCACACACACACACACACACACACACACACACCCATGCACAAATTTCATGCACCAGCCCTCTAGTCCAATATAATAACTTAAAACATTTGGACTCCTATTTTGTATATTTGTTTTATTTCATTTTCTATTGTTTTTTAATGGTATATTGTAAAAAGATAAACTAAGACATATTACATTTTGGAAAGTTTATTTGAGCAAATGATTTGAAAGTTTATTTGAGCAAAATTTCAAATGATTCAGGGTACTCCACAGGTGGGACCTGGGGTAAAGTTTTTAATAGTGAAGACATGGGGGTGGAGGGTGGGGGAGAAGCAAAGCAATTAATTGGTTGTAGCCTAAATATTTGCCATATTTGGGGAAATTTAGTAATTTGGCTGTTATAATAATTCTTCTTGAGTTTGATTTTCTCAGGTTCAAGAAAACCTAGTTTAATGTTTATTATTAGT